GAGCAGGGAGACGTTGGGCGATTCGATCTGAAACTTGGGGAGTTAAGGGAGGAAGGCGAGCCAGGAAATGAAGAAGATGATGGACATGATGGTGAAGACGGCAACGACGACCATCATGATGCGGTAGAGGATGATGGGTTTGCGCCTGAAGGGCCCATCGGGCTAGGGATTGTAGTAGGGAGGTGGCGGGCCCGTGGGCTAGTAAGTATTGGGGGAAGAGCTCGGCGAGGAGGTTCTCGTCGGAGATGGAGGCGTAGTGGGGAGGGAAGTGGTTACGAGTGATGGGTAATGGGGGGTGGGAAGGTGGGCATGGGTGGGGATTCTAGGGAAGGGGATCTGGTTATATATATATATATATATATATATATATATAACTTTTCTTTAAATAATTATTTTAATATTTTAAAATTTTTATTAAGTGTTTAGCCACGGGACACAAATGTGGCAACCACGTCATCTCTTAACCGACCAATGGATGGAAAATGAAACGTATCACATCCCGGCTCGGGCCCCCACCACATCCAGGCTAGATGCTTTGGGCCCCTACCACACCCTCACAGTTTTGTTTCTGGGAACTCACACGAGAACTTCACATGGGTCACCCATCATGGGATTGCTCTCGCGTGAACTTGCTTAACTTCAGAGTTCCAATGAACTCTGAAGCTAGTGAGCTCCCAAAAAGCTTCGTGATAGGTAGATATGAGAATATACATATAAGGCTTACAAGATCCACTCTCCTGGGCAATGTGGGATGTTACATAACAAATGTATTATATTGAAATAAAATAGTATTTGAGGTATGAAAGTGAAATATTTTAAAGATATTGTAAGGAATTGAAATCGACCCCAAACCTAAGATGGTAAAGTGTAATTTACCCAAACTAATTTCTACCGTATTAATTTCACAATTCATGCACTTCTTGAACTTAGCTTTAAACCAGCTTTCCCCACCACAGCTTCTTTTTAAAAGCAGAAGTTTGGTCATTTAGCAAACACCTTAGCACTTCAAAACTTTACAAAAGAACAGTTGTTGTCCCAAATAAGCAACTCGAAACAGGCACTAAATAAGTATTTTTCTTTTTGAGTTCCTATCTGCAATTAGCATAGCTTTATGCAATTTGGAAAAGGAGGGGTGACAACATAATTTTTTGTTTGGTAAAGAAGGAAAAAGCTTCTTTAAAAGCATAAACCTTTCAAGCATGGGCTGTGAACTAAGTTAAAGCAAAGATTAGAGTTTTTAATTAGAGTGATAATTTGGGGTTTAGAAAATTCTAATCAATGGAGGCTAAATCTTGTAAGATATCAACCCCATCATTGCTAATCAGGGCAGGGAAGGGCAGGACCACCACAAATCCACATCTGTGCTGCTGCTTCTTCTAATAAGATTAAGGCCCACATGAACCTTCAATGCATGCTGCTGCACGCGTGATAGCTTATTAGGACCAATTTCTCTCTCTAATTAGTCTTCAATAAAAACACTTTTTGGTGGTTCTTTAATTTAATTTATCATTAACTTAATAATAATGTTAGCTGTTTACTTGTTTCATGAACAATTCTTGCTACAGTTCTCACTTTTTATTTTTAAAGGAGACCAACTAGTGGCTTTATCACGGCAGTCTACTTTTTGAGGGGTCAGGAAGACTCACAAAAGCATTTCATCCTCTCCTGTCAACCGTTGTGTGATTCATCAGTGCCACAAATCGAACCCCGAACTTACCGTGTGGAATATAGTCTTGAAGTTCTTCCCCAACCATATGCAAACATTGTTGGGATGATATGCCCTCTCACACTCTCAAAGGTGGGATCATTAGTGTAGCTCGGACAATCGTCTACTATTAATGGTTGATTGTGTCCGTTGATACATTGTGTGTTTCATATTCATCAATGGACATGATTAATTCACATATGCATGTGCAACAGACTTTAAGATTTCCCTAAAAGGATTTAAGCGTGGTTGCAAGGGGTTAAGTAGACTATCGTGATTAACTGGCCTAATTCACATATCCGAGCTGCTTTGTCGAGATGAGCCAAGGTGAATTATTGTGATTATTTCATAATCAATTCTACTTTCAGAAAAAGCAATACATTTATTTGTGGGGTTCTGGAATTTGAAACATTTTTATGAGGAAGTTGGATGAATTGAATCAAATCTGTGGCTTTGGTTTAGCTTCAAGCAGAGCTGGCAAAACTAAATTAAAGCTCTTTTTATTTCTTTTGTCAGAGGGAAACATTGATTAGATTAAATGAAAGCTCTACTGATCTTAAAATAAGATGGGGTGGAATAAATTACAAGAGAAATGCTAAGGAGACTTTCAAAAATAAAACTTTCCATAGATTCTCAGTCACCTCATATTTTTGGAATAATGTTTTTAACATTGGCACGAAAATTGATGTTAAACTGTGAGATGACAAAGAGTTTATGAAAAATCCTACGTTAAGAGAATCTCCTTAGTATCTCTTATTACAATGTCTCATGCTCATGGTTTCAGATGAATTCATTCACGGAAGATTTTTGATACAACAATAAATTTGTACTAAGCAATGAGATTGACCTTTAGGTTATAATTTTTTTTTTTTTTTTTTTTTAACAAACGAAAGTGTTAAGTGAGTTAAACTGTTAGTTGTTAAAAGAAGGGAGATCAGTGAAATCGAACTCGCACCATGATACATATACATAATTGTTTTTAACTGGGGTAAAGCGACATCTGCTTAGACTATATGTATGTTAGATAATTAATCACTTTCTCAAACAATCAAACCCAATTATTGATTGTTGTTTTCATCTTTTAAGAAATTGAAAAAAAAACCCAAGACCTTGTTCTTCTCCTCGAGTCCCATTCCAAGCCTCCAACTTGAAATGAACTGAGAGCTATGATTCAATGTAAGTCCCCACATTGATCAGTTTGGTGTACCATCACTATCATCGTATCTAACTATTTATATTTGCTTTAAAGTACTTATTGTAGGTCCCCCTCCACTGAACACATTTTGAAAATGACATAATAACTTACATATCAACATATAACATGTCCAAAATGAAATTCGGCTGTTATTCAAACTAAGTAGCGATCCATATCGATATATAAAGAAAAAACGAGTTAGCCGATCAGTCACATTGTTACCTTGACGACAAGTATGGACTTCATAATCATCATATATCTCATTCAGTAGTTGTTTCATGTCATCAATCACCAAACCTATCAAAAAAGTATTACGACTCAGGCGAAAAAGCATCAAAATGATACGGAGAGAACTACCCAAATGACCTCATTCAACGGTTCCCTAATTCACCAATGTTCCAGTCTAATTTAAGAATAGCGATTCAAACCTAATTTTCAATTAATGAATACTTTGGGACTCATTTCCAGGGAAAAGGATCCTCGACAGATCCTTTTCTTAAGGATCCTGGGATGCCGTGATTATAATCGTTTATCATATATAGTGCGGTCAGAAATCATTTTAAATTTAAAATATAAAATTAAATATAAATAATACCTAATAAAAACTGAACGTGCGATATACGATGAACGGTCACGATTACAAGATCTTCAGAAAAAGGATCCGACGAGGATCCTGTTCCCATTTCTAGGGTGTTGTGTGTCACACCTGATGATGACTTGGCATCAAATTAGCCGCTAAATTCGGAATAAATTTTGAGTTTTTGCCAGCAAGATCACAACCAGGCCTAGGAGGTGGAGGTTTGACCAGATAATTTGGTTTGACCAGGTTTGTTGGGTACTTGGATTAAGAGAGTAATACTACAGCTGGATAACCGTACCAGGACAAGGAGGTCAATTGATGATTAGATTCCATTATTCCTTATGTTCCTCAGCACACAGAGACTCAAAACCCTCCCAAGTTAAAAAAACAAAAAATAAATAAATAAATAAATAAATTTTTACAATTTACAAGTTCTACTACCAACTAATATTAGATTAATTTAATTTAATTAATTTAAAGACTTTTTTTAGATATTAGCCTCTGTTATGCCTCCCCAGCCTAATACTCTCAGTGTGGTCCCCTGAGAAGCACACACCTGTCAAGCAGGGGCCCACCAGAAATCTTTAGCAATAAAAAAAATATAAAAGTAATCACAAATTATATTGGTCGATACTACGATATAACAATATTTCTCTCTATTAAGTGTTTAAGTGCGAGGTCTTTCCATTTAATATTATGGTTTAGTAGTATTCATCTTCATTTGTAAGTGAGAGATCTTAAATTCGATTCTCATCAAAGGTGAATTTGAACCATATTACTGTTAGCACATTGTGAAGCTAAGCCCACCTCATCCCTTTTAATGTAAATAAAATAGTTTGTTCAAGAAAAAAAAAAAAGTGCGAGGTCATAAGGTCCCTTAGTTCTTTATGGTGAATTGGACAAATTGTCTATAACATATTTATCAAAGAATGAAATCAGGTCACTAATTCTTTAGCTTCATTTGGGCAGATAGTTATGCTTATAGATGGTGGTCTATGGTTCCGGATTTTATTGCCTCAACCAATACTCATGATATTTCATTTTGCCCTTATTATCGATTTCGTTGATTATTTGGTCACAGGCAGGTCTTGGCTTAGTCCTCGCGCTTGTATTGTTGTTTTTTAATTTCCTAATATTTCTTAATAAAAATGGCGGAGGAGGAACGTGCAGGGGTTTCTAGGTGTAATGATCCTCATCTCTATAGAAAAAAGGTAAGTATCTCGTACTCGATCATTGCCGAAGAGCTAATCTCTCATAATATTTCTCTATGGAACTTATTAAACAAAATGAAATAAGAAATCCAAGGGTGGAGAAGGGGGGGATTGGGAAGTGGGGCCCAGAGAGTTGGTGTGCAATGATGCAGATGGAAGGATGATGGAGGTTAGGAGCATAATGAGTTTTTATTCTCAAAAGAAATGAAAGAGGGTGAATGGGTTAGTTGGCACTGAGAAAAATGAGTGTGTAACAGCAAAGAGAGGTCTGTTACAATAGTTGGCAAATGTGTCAGTAAAAAATAATTAAATTAAAAATTTTAAAGTATGTCAAAGATGTCAAGCAAGCAAGCTTGGCCTTGAAGAGAAGAACCTCTCCAATTTTTTAATTCCCAAAACAAAGTTAAAAATAAAATAAAAAAACAGAGGGAAAGCATTATTATATTGGAAAATTGCAGAGAAGTGAATGCTCAAAGTAGAGAGAGAGAGAGAGAGAGAGAGAGAGAGAGAGAGAGAATTACAAAGGGTGAAGTGTGGAAGGAGAGAGAGGGATTAGGTTCTGTAATAATTTTTCCAACCAGAGCAGTTGGCAGTGGTTATTTCTGGGTCTTTTAAATCATACATGTCATCTGTTAACTTGGGCAGGTAAGCAAACCCTCACTCTTTTTGTAGCTCCATAGCTCTGCTGCATTTTGTGTGTGATGCATAAGAAAAAGGTTAGAACTTGATGCTTCTTTTGCTGTTGGTGCAAATACCCAACTTGTGAATTGGGATTTTCCTGTCAAATTGGATTCCTTTGGAGGTAAAATCAAAATCCCAATTCAGGGACTGAGCTAAAACCCTGCCCATTTTCTCTTCTGTCACAATTCAAGCATAAATTTGATGCCTTCTGGTCTTTCTTGGAGTACCCATCTAAGAATATCTCAAAAGGGGTTCTGCAACTTTCCTTTTTCCCAGTTTCTAGGCTTCTAGCTCTTTTGATTCAAAACTTGCAAGAGCTAGTTGTTATTTCCTGATAGGTAATTGGCAGCCATTTTTATTAATTATTATTATAATATTCAATTGCTTGAAGCTTGGAGTGATTCTCCTTCTCACTAATTTTGGTCATAGTTTGGAGAGATTCAAAACCCCCTTTTTCCATCTGGTTCCTTCAACCAGATTGATGTTTGATTGAGCTGAGGATTGAAAATAAAAAATTTGAAATTTAGCTCTCTCCAAAGAGAAAAAGGGAATCTGCTTTCTTTTTGTTAGTCTGGTGAGCTGTTGCTTAGCTAATGTCTATGTTTGTCCATGTCTAACTTTATGCTCTGAAAGGTTCACTTTTTCTTGTCTGTGGGGAGCATTTTCTTTTGTTTATTTTCCCTTCCCTGCACTAGAAGCTTGATCCTAGGGTTTTTGAGGTCTTTAGGGTGGTGCAGTATAAGATTTTATGCCTGATACACTGGATTTATCCTCTCACTTTGTGTCCATGGGATGCTGCAACAAGAGGCATCTGTTGCTTTAGCACCCTCTCAGGTCTATAAAGCTGCAGAGGTTACCTGTTCCTTGTTGAGTCTGCAAGATATCACCAGTCAACTTTGGTCAAAGCCACCCACTTTCCCTTTAGTGTCTTAGATTTCTTTTGTCGTTTGAATAATATATAGGTTGGTGGAGGAGGACTCCATAGTTTTGGAGGATTAGGACTTCTGAGTTCATAAAATGGGAGGTCATGACAGTGAGGATGTAGGGTTTCAGCATAGAATTGATGGGAGCCGGAACTGTCCATCTTCCGGGATGAGCATTAATCCGCTGCCCGAAAAGGTTTCCAGAACGGCAATGAGTTCTGTGTCCATGTTTAAGCCTTCAAATGGGGCTGACCCTTTCTTTGCTTCTGGTTGGGATCCAATTGTTTCATTGAGTCAGAATGATAATTTTGGCGGTCCTTCGGGTGTTTCCCATGGCGAATTTCCCAATCCACCTTACCCCGTTGCGATGGAGAATCAGGGAATGAGTAGCACCTCCCACCTTGTTCAATATCCATCTGATTCAAGCTATGTTGGGATGGTGCCAAAGCTTCCTCAATGTTTTGGAAGTGGAAGCTTCTCAGAAATGGTTGGTTCTTATGGTCTCTCTGAGTGTGGCCAGATTGCTAACCCTGGGTGTCCTCCGAACTATAACCCCAACAGGGAGGGGGGCACTGAGAGGACTTCAACAATCGGTGCCCAATCTCACGATGATCGCCAAATTTCTGAAGAGGGTGCTTTAGGATCTTCGCCGAATGGAAAGAGAAGGAAACGAGCTTCCAAATCCAACTCTGCATTCAGTCCAAATAAGGTAAATTGAGCTATGCTGAATTGGTATCAGTTTTTTTTTTTTTTGTTGATTATTTATTCCGGTGATGTTAATTTCTTTGTTATCTGTAATAGAATGTTGATGGGGAACTTAACAAGGATATGTCTGGGGAGAGCTCTGATTATCTGAAAGAGCAAGATGAGAAGAAAGCAAAAACTGAAGAAAATGCAGCTGCAAATTTGCGTGGCAAGCAGATGGGCAAACAGACTAAAGAAAATTCTCAAAGCGGAGATCCAAAAGACAGTTACATTCATATTAGAGCCCGAAGGGGCCAGGCTACAAATAGTCATAGCCTCGCAGAAAGGGTGCGTTCTCATTACGATATATCCATGTATCAAAATTTCATGAAAATTTCCTTTTCAATTAGTTTATTGAAGCAATATAACTTTCTGCTTGCAGGTAAGGAGAGAAAAGATTAGCGAGCGGATGAGATTGCTTCAAGAACTTGTTCCGGGATGCAATAAGGTATTCATAAATGTTGGAGTTGGTCAGTTTTCGGAGTAATCTCTTATGTTATATAGAATACTGATCAATTTGTTAAACAATCACGTTTCTAGATTACTGGGAAGGCTGTAATGCTTGATGAGATTATCAATTATGTGCAGTCTCTGCAACAGCAAGTTGAGGTAAGAAATTCTGCAGTATAAAATGAGGAACTACTTCCATGTTTTGTAGAGAAAAATATATCCGCTATGTTTATAGTTGTACTGCAATTTCTGCTAGTTGTAAGCTGAAACTAGAGAACCATGTCCATAATTGTGAAATGTTAGTACCGTGGTTGTCTAGCTCCGATATGTTTTATGATTCAGTAAAGGTTTACTTTCTTTAATGATTCAGTTTTTATCAATGAAACTTGCGACGGTCAATCCAGAACTCAACATTGATATTGAACGGATTCTGTCCAAAGATGTAAGTCCGTCCAAACGCAAGTATTACTCAATAATTTTGTCAATTACAACAAAATATTAGTGAATGTATTGAACTTCATCTTGGATTGCCTTCTATGTAGATTCTTAACTCGCGGAGTGGCAGTGGAGCTATCTTCGGGTTTAGTACTGGAATCGGCTCTTCTCAACCATACCCTCCCGGTATGTTCCCTGGAAACTTGCCAAGTATGCCAACTTCAGCTCCACAATTTCCTTCCTTGCCTCAGGTAATTAGAATTGAGAGACTTCAAATCATAAGATATAATCGTCTTTTTAGCTTGACGAAACAGCGGCTGATTTAACGCATGTGATTTTGCAGAATGTATTAGACAATGAGTTCCAAGGTCTTTTCCATATGGGTTTTGATTCTAGTTCAGCTATTGACAATATGGGACAAAATGGTAAATAACACAAATTCATTCATGTTTGCAAATCGCTTTCAAAGTTCTTACGTCTTTAGCTTTCTTCTAACCTTGACACGCTATAATGTTCAGCAGGCCGCTTGAAGCCGGAGTTATAAGATTCAGACGGATATTAGGGGCTACTTCCACCCGACAGACAACTCAAATTTTCGGTTAACTCTACTTGACTCAGCTAGAGAAGAAGAAAAAGTGGAAAGAAAACGAAAAAAAAATAGAAGCTTATTCCGGTTGTATAGTCTCTCTCGGTTCCTAATTGTTTGTTCTTCGAATTTTTAGCAGAAGAAGATGACTTTGTTATATTACAAAAAAAAATGTGTATAATGAGACAACAAGGCAAGAGGTTTGATTGGTGAAGAAGAAGAAGAACTCTGTTTGTTGGGTGTTTGTAGAAATAGGACTTTGCTTGAAGCTTTCTAGGGTTTTAGGGGAATCTGTGGAAGAATTGTTTTTGTAGATTGCTGCATCATGAAAGGAGTAACAGATTTGTTCTGATGTTCATGTAACTTCCTCTGAAAAATCTCCATTTCTTTTGCAATAAATTATGAGTTATGTTTCTGAAAGTCGCGGTTGTTAATTTAATGCACCAATAGAATTAGGGTTTTAATACCCCTGGCTCTATTTTCGATTAAAAGTTTGTAACCGGTTTATTTGTGCGCATTTCTGCCACTGGCCCTTGTGATCCAGGATGAAAAAAGTGAAACTTCTTCCCAGTGTTTGCCATGCATCCTTTATTCTTCCTTTGGATTCCTTTTCTTCCACGCGTCAGATTGAATGAATGAAAGGAGAATTAAGCGACACAGAAACAAAGAGGAGTGCCGAAGGAGAAAAACGGAGGTTGCGAAAATCGTTTTCCTAGATCAAATTAAGGAAAACAAGTCAAGCTTCTTTTTCCATAAAAGTAACAGATTTGATGCTTCTTTCTTCTTCTGCTGCTCCTACAACAAGATGTCAATCTCATCGGTGCTGGCTTCTTGGTTTCTGATGCGATACCAGCAAATTTAGGTGTAGCAATTTCAAGGTAAAGAAACCAAACACCATCTGATTAATACGTCACTTCTGCTCACCTTATCTTATCGTCTGAGTCATTAGGGATCACCAATCTGGCATTTATACCGACTTGAAGAAGAAGCTTACTTTCTGTGGGGGGTTGGTTTTTTATTTCCCTTCCAATCAAATTGGGTTTGCTTTCTGTCATAAAACGTGAGGATTCAAGAGAGTGATATGGCCTCGTCACTAGCACCACGGTCTAGTATATTCTTATGTATTTGTAAGCGTGTATTTTAGGATTAAATTGGATAATTCACTAGTGATTCGCATCTTTTTTTTTCTTGACGACTGCTTATATTTATGGCACTTGCATTGAATAATAAAATGAGAATCAAAGAATAAACAGCGATCTTTTCTTGCATAACTAGGTGGTGATTTCACCACAACAGTCTCCCTATTTGGGAGTCGGAAAGACTTACAGAAGCATTTCAACTTCTTCTAACCACCATCATGTCATTCACCATCACCGACAATCGAATCTTGAATGTGTCGTGTATAATACAGAATATAGAATTCATCCTCAATCACTACTATTATATAAACATAGGCCCCTTCTAAGGAGTATTTTTTCCTCTTGAAAAAAAAAAAAAAAAAAAAAAAAAAAGAAGAGAAACTATATACCATTTATAATTGATGAGAAGAATAAAAGCATCAAGAAGATTGCCTTTGAAATTGTGAAGTAGCGTGTGTTTTGATGTTTGAAGAAACAGATTTTCTTACAAAAAGAATGACTAAAAACAAAAGAATGAAAAATAAATTAAAAAAAAAAAAAACAAACATTGAACATGCATCACTATTTCTCATCTGTGTTTTCCTCATAGATGCCATCCTTTCTCCATTTATAGCACAACTACTTTTCTTCTTCAGGGTGGCCGGAGTCTGGAGGGCGGAGGACAAGCAAGAGAGAGAGCAACACTCTCGGCCCTCTCGACGACCTTCTCCCAAGTAGTCCTCTCTCCGGGCTGTTCTACTTAGATACGATTTGTACCACCCCGGCTTGTCTGTGTTTCTATCGTCCATTTATCGCTACGTAAGTTTATTGCTCTCTCTTTTCACTCCACCTGCTCACCGATTAGGTCTAGACCGACCAACAGGAACGATACTCCCTGAAACAACAAGAAGTAGAAGTGGATACCCTGAGCAGACAGAAGGCTCCTCGCCGCGGCAGTTAGGAGAAGGAAAGCCAATGCCAACTCCTTTGTGTATATTCTGTTGTGCTTCTTCTTCCGGGAAACCTTTTGCTCCTGCTGTCTAATTTCTTCCTTCATTTCATCAAGGTCCGGCACTGAGACCCCCCTTTGATGCTTTGGCTTTTCAACTAAGGAGGTGAGATCGCCCTCTGAGGAACGGCCAGATTTCTTAGTGACAACCCACTCATATGCGCTGCCAAGCTGGAACAGGCCGGAGATCATAGCGTTGAACTTGGTCACTGACATGGTGTTCTCAAAGAGAAGGTAAGGAACAATGAAAGGGAAGGCTTTTGGGGCTGGGAGAATGTTGAGAAACGACATGGTGGCGGGGATGTAACATACAACCCACGCTGGTAGCTCAGCCTCTGGGATGAACATTGTCATGGGGAGAATTATGCAAAAAAGGGTAAACGAATAGAAGGGTAATATAAGTTTCCGAAGCAGAAAGAAGAGAAAGATTAAATTGAATTTCTTGCCAATGCTGATCTGTGACAAGCAAAGAACAAGATATAATTAGTGAACCACAATTCACAACAATTCCTTGGCAAGCAAAACAACCTTAATTTGAACAAAGGGACAAGTACCACCAAAAGGATATATACCTTCGATTTGATAATAGCGGGCAAACAGAGGCGAAACAATTGCATAGGCCCCGAGTGCCATCGGTGTTGTTGCTTCCGATAAGCTTCATAAGATTCCGGTAATTCACACTGGCACTGAGCACATAAAACATATAGCACTAACAACCATTAGCCAACCGTTGAAACAGAGCAAGTAAACTAGTTTTAACAGAGGATAATTCGGGACAAAATAGTACCTCGACGTCATTGAGGAAAATAAATTTCCATCCGTGGAGATGGGCACGAACAGCAATATCCATGTCCTCAACAGTGGTCCTCTCTAACCACCCACCGGCTTCTTCCAACGCCTTTATCCTCCACACACCAGCTGTCCCATTGAAACCGAAGAAATTAATGAACACGCTGTTCACTTGTTGCTCAACCTCAAAGTGGAATGACAAGTTAATGTTCTGCAGCCTTGTGAGCAGGTTCTCATCCTTGTTCACAAAGGACCACCTAGCCTGAACCAGCCCTAGTTCATCATTGCCCTGAAATTAAAATAATTAACCGATTTTAGCAATTAAGGCTATCTTAATCGCAATAATTATCCGCATCTTCGCATTAAAAGCAACAATCTTTACAATAATGCAGTTCGATCAGTCTCAATCAGAGTCTCACAGATTATGATTAACAACAGAATTAGCAGCAAGTAAGGTTTACCTTGAAGTGAGGGACCGTTCTCTTGAGGAAATCAGGGGTGGGCTGAAAATCTGCGTCGAAAATCGCGACGAATTCATAGTCCTTGACATAGCTACAATTCATTGCAGACTTGAGATTACCAGCCTTGTACCCATCTCTAATCACGCGATGCCGGTACACAATGTTGGCTCCCTCCTGCTGCCACTTATGGACTTCCTCCTTGATCAGAAACTGCGTCGTTGGATCATCCGAATCGTCGAGAATTTGAATCAACATCTTCGATTTCGGCCAGTCCAGATTGCACACTGCAGCAATTGACGTCTGATAAACCTGATTTTCCAAACAATCTACAATCAGCCAAGAACAAAATGCACAGAAATCGTAAAATTAAAAGTTACTGAGCTAAAAAAATTCGTAAATTCAGTAAATTTACCTCTTTTCATTGCACATGGGAATCTGAACAAGAACCATGGGGAAGTAACCGGTTTCCCCTGTTTCGGGGTCGAAAGAGCCTTCCTTCGGGACCGGTTTGATCTTCTTGAACCGGATCCAGAAGCAACCCAGGCAGAGGATTAGCCTATCCAAGCTCTGAATCATGAAAAGAACAATGCAGGAACTGGCCAGGAACTGTAGCGGCGGAGCTAAATACTCCACCCGGAACAAAACCCATTTCGAATAAACCCAACCAAACGCGCCCTTAACCCCAAATGGCGACGCCCACAAGTACTCCAGCTGCAGATGCGCCGGCCCAAAGTGCCAGCCTTTGAAATACGCCGCCACCTCAAAACCCAGAAGAAGAACCGACAGACACAGGAACATCTTGATACAGAAATAGAACCGGCTGCGGACGGCAGGGTTCTCGACTTCCCTGACGCCGTGGGGCTCGACGTCGGCGTCGGTGTCCATCCGGCCGGAGGCGACGCGACGGCGGATTGCCGATGCGAGGCCCAGCATTGCGGAGCCGATGGAGGTGAGGCAGCCCGCGGCTCTGTGGGCTTTGAGGAGGAGGACCCAAGTGAACTGCTTGGCGTTTTTGCCACGGACACGACCCGGCGACTCGGAGATGAGGAAGTCCTCGTCGGAGGGGCCTTCGAGCTCGACCATGGACCAGTTGGGGTTCTCCATCTTGATGACGACGGGTGTGCCGCGGTGGGTGTCTTTAGTATTATTCCACCAGCTGAAAGAGGGCGCCATTTTTATGGGTGCGAATTCTTCTGGGTGTCTGATCTCACGAAACCAAGCTCAGAAGCGACCCAAACGAACTGAAACGTTTCTTATTTTGTAATCTATTCGATTTTTCGGTCCGAGGCAAAACCCCTTCTCGACCGCTTGAAGACGAAGAGACCCCAAATGCAGAAAAAGGCTACGACTTTGATCTCATTGTCAGGAAATGTAGAGAGAGAAAGTGAGACAGAGGGGAGAGAGGGAGATGGCGAAGGAGAAGAAGGACGCGTGGTGGAGAGAAAGCAGAGCGAGCGAGGCGTCTCTAAATCAATGCGACATTCGGTGCTGCCGAGTGTAATAAGAGAGAGAGAGAGAGAGAGGACTGGGGAATTCTAGAGAGAGAAAGAGAGATTGAGGAGAGAGAAACAGCAAGAACTACAAAGGTTGTGACTTTGTCTGTGGGGGCTGAGGCCAAATGTGCTACCATCAATTTACAGCTTGCAAATGAGGCCTCTGGGAAGCAATACGAATGGAGAGAGAGAGAGAGAGAGAGAGAGAGAGAGAGAGAGAGAGATTTGAGAAATGAAAGAGATGGCAATGGAAATGGAAACAGCTCAACACGTCTTTGAATTTGATTAGGGAAATTAATTAATTAACTAATTAAATGATTAAAAGAGGGAGAAGAAAAATAAAAAACTTGACGAAATAAGATAATTAATTTATTTAAATTGATTCACAGAACCCACGTTCTCAAATGTTAATGTCTGAATTGATTTTTTAAACAATAACAAGTAACAACTTCCCCAGATTTTCTTTCTAAATTTTCCACCAA